TGAACAGAACATCACAGAAATAGCATAGTACTACTGTACTGGAATAATTGGTATGACTGGGAAGCATACTACCACAATCCTGGTCCTAAAAAGAAAGATTTTACTTCACTCTGGGTAAAGGAGCATTATCCATTATACATCTGGGACATTATTAAATCTGTTGATGAACAGATGGCCTGGATGAAACACACAGGCTTTCTGGGGCAACATGTATTCATTCAACTTCTTTGGTAGCAATTAGCCTTTTGAACAGTGCTGGGCACTCAAATATTTACACACACTTGTAGCATTTTGATTGCTCCTAAGGATCAAACAACGAAGGCTAAAATGTGGATTTGGGGCTGGACACATTACTTGGACCTACCTATTATCAACTTGTATGTTTGTAAATAAAATAAAAATAACCTGAGTCAACAATGTTCTTTCTCCAAAGTAATCGAGCATGGCTAGCAGTTTGAGTGTTGGGCTAGGACTACAGTAGGTTCAGAATCAAATCCTTGCACAGCCGTGGAAACCCACTGGATGGCCTTGAGCAACTCACACTCTCTCAAACTGATGGAAAAAGCTTGACAGGAAAATCCTATGAGGACTTCTTGTTGTGTGCCTTCAAGTTGTTTCTGACTTCTGGTGACCCTAAGGTGGACCTATCATGGGGTTTTCTTAGCAAGATTTGTTCAGAGGAGGTTTGTCATTGCCTTCCCCTGAGGGTGAGAATCTTTGATTTGCTCAAGATTGGGTTTCATGGCCTTTAGACTGGGTCTTTAGAGTCACAGTCCAACACTCAAAACACCACACCATGCTGAGAATCCCATTAGAGGATCACCATAAACTGGCATAAATTTGCATATATCAGTGCCACCAACTGACCCAGACATTGGTCTGAAACTTCTCACTGTGTGGTACAGTGGAGAGCATGTAACAGTATATATAGCATCATTATGTCCTGCCCTGCTTTCAGCTTGTATACATACAGTTAAAGTGCAAAAATGCTCATAGTTCCAAATCCAAACACATGCTAGGAGAGAAGATAAACTGAAACCATATTTGTCCAGTGTCATCTAGGGTGACTTTAATCTGTTTCTTCTTATTACAAAACACCAGCAGGCCTTTAAACCCACTCCTATGTTCTCTGGAGCTTTGAGAGCTGAATGATGGGATCAGACACTATGCAACTGCCTCAGACCTTTCCCACTGTTCAGTACAAAGAAGGAAATCCATTCATCCATTGAAAAGAAGATGCTCCATGTTAGCTCATTAAGATAGATGGAACAGTTTGCATAGCGCAGCAGTTTAACCTTACTCTTGATCAGCAAAGGCATTTGAGACTCCCTTGATGCAATAAGATTTTACAAACATAAGAGATGGTTTTTACATAAAAAGATAAAAGTAATGCTTGATGTTTTTTAACTTTGCAAAATATTACACTAGAGCACAAGACCTTAGAGTTTTCTACAGATATCAAGCATAAATGGAACCATGCAAATTCAGCAACCTGGTTCAAGTAACCCAAATCTGGGGTGGGGAAAAAAACACTCTTTCTGAACTTGACAAATAGAAAGTCTCAAGAGCTTTTGCTAATTAGACATCACAAAATGATTGTAAAAATAACCAAATGAAGTCTGAACTGTTCTGAAAATACACCCTTTAATCCAGTTATTAGCCTAAATCTAGTTATTAGTCACAGCATGAGCTAGTGTGGAGCAATGGTTTGAGTGTTGGACTATGGCTGTGGAGACCAGGGTTCAAATTCTTTCTTGGCCATGGAAATCCACCACTTGACCTTGGGCAAGTCTTTGCAGACTGCCAGAAATAGTGCAAATTGAGTCCACTTTAAGTGTCCCGGCTCAGTGCTAGGGAATCATGGGAATTGTATTTTTTTTCGAGACATTGAGCCTTGTCAGAGAGCTCTGGTGCCACAATGAACTACAGTTCCCATGATTCCCTAGCACAGAGTCAGGGCAGTTAAAGTGGACTCAATTTGCACTATTTCTGGCAGTCTGCAAAGAAGGTCAGACTCTCTCAGGGGGGAAGCAGACGAGAGCTTCCAGGACGCCGCAGGACGGTGCGTCGCAGGACCGCGGCATCTGCACCGCGGCGCACCGTCGGCGCCTCTGAAAGGAGTGCAAAATCAGCACTCCTTTCAGAAGTCAGTGAAAGTGCACCCTAAAAGCGTAGGGCACACTTTCACTTACTTATCTGCCGCAGCGTGTGCGGACGCTGTGGCGGGAGGTTGCCCTTGGACTGCCGGCTGTGTGGAGGGCCGGCAGCTCCGAGGGAAACCTCGGCAGGAGGAAGGGGCGCCGAGCGTGCGGCTGCCCCTCCTCTTCCTTGCCTTGAGGACGGCGCAATTAGCCGTCTGCTGAGGCCCTTTGTTTCAGAGAAAGTCAATGGCAAACCCCCTTTGAACAAATCTTGCCAAGAAACCCCTGTGATAGTTTTGCCTTAAGGTTGCCATAAGTCAGAAATGACTTGAAGGAACACAACAACAACAAATGTATCCATGGAAAATTTGTAAACCAACACTTATGTAAATTCTGTTGATTTAATTTGTTTGCTCTGCTTGGTATAAATAATTGGGTTTAGGCTTTTGTTTCAAAGTAGAGCTATTATGCTAGGATTTTTTTCAGAACCCAACATTTTACATCCATCCACTAGTTTTGTTTCATTTTCTCCTTTGTAGCAAAAACATGATAGCGTCAATCTCTACTGTCCATGGAAGAAAGATGGCCAGGAAGCAGGTGTGTGTGTGTTAATGGTGTTTAATAATCCACATGGCTTTTGAAACAGAGTTTCCAAGACTCAGGTTAAGGACAGTCAGTACTATATTCCAATGATGTTTGTTCTGTGTTAAGGACATTTTGTATTCTGTGCTTATCCTGCACTGCAAAACTCTTTTTCTTCTTGAAGGCATACCTTTTTATTTGACTGTAATCTTGTTTGCCACTAGTAGTGGCCATCTGGTGTTCCCAAAGCCATCAGCACAAGCTGTGCATTTTAGGAGATGATTTACAAGTGCTCAACATTGCTCTGGGACATTTGAACATAAACACCTCAAAATCAGAAGCAGGGCAAAAAAAACCCCTTTTATTTAAAAATCCACGTGACAGTTATTTAAAGGCTACTTCAGACATGATTATCATTATTCACTGATATCACCTTCAGGTGTAGAGTATGACATGTGAGAAATGTAAATATGTCTATTTCACCAGCAAGAGCTACAACTTTATTTTATCTTATATACTGTTATATTATGTATAATATAGCTTCAATTCCACTTATTTTCCACTAGGTAAACACATGTTTCATCAGATTCTACACATCCTTTCATGCTGTACCAGGTCCTCCAAATCCTTTCATGCACTGGGAGGAATGAATCCAAATGGCAACATTCGTTATGGCTGAAACCTAAGACCAGTCATAGCTATTTAGTCAAAGCAGCTAATGGCTTGTTCCTGTTGGAAATGCAACACCATTCAGCACTTAGAGTTAAAGAGATCAGCTATAACCCAAGGATTAAGTAGTTTTCAATGCCACGACATATTTCATACACTTATCATAAACTCTTTGAGAGGTAAGGGTGCATCTACACTGTAGAAATAATGTGGTTTGACACCACTTTAACTGTCATGTCTCTATCCTACTGAACCCTGGGATTTGTAGTTTTGTGAGGCACCAGCACTCTTTGGCAGAGAAGGATCAACACTGTTGAGTCAACAGTGTGATGCAGCAGCTAAAAAGGCCAATGCAATTTT